AGTGAATTTATTCATTCTATTAGTTTTATTCGGTCTTCGGATTTGGTTGGTGATACTATTAGCAATGTGATTGTGTAATCAGTATTAAAAAAAAGTAAAAAGTACAAACACTGTACATATGACACGAGTCTCCCGCCTTTTTGTGTCGTACATCATAAATCTGTAGTCTTCGTTTATTACCCTTCGATCGATAGCATCGTGAGTCGTCGGCTCTTTACCGATATACTCATTTTACGCGGTCACATATCACCCCGATCGACTGTCTCTATCTCACTCTCACTCTCACTCACGTTCGATTCGTTCGGAATTTTGGTATGCATAGTGTAGGTAGAAAAACGGAAGAGCTATTAGACCGAATAACAGTTAGCATTCGGAAACGTTTCATAAATTACAGTACAAAGTTATGTTTGTAAATCTTTCTCATCGGATGTGATGTACATCTTTTCTTTCACTCACTCGCGAGCTACACAACTCTATTACGACAAAGAAAATCAATAGTCAACTAACAATCTTGTTGTAAGCAGCGTGGCAGCCAGCAATTGTGGCGTCGCGTTCGTGTTTAATGCAATCATTTAAGAAAATTTATATTTTGGTTCCGATTGTGAGAGCCGTGTCGCAATCGCGTGTATTGAGCTAAATATGGGAGTAAAAGGATTCGTGGAATAATAGCGGATTGTCGCGAGTGACTTAACCTGAGGGTGCGGATCCCCTGGTATAGGAACAAAAACGGGTCACCATCACGCATACGCTATAAACTACATTATCATCCTATACAGTTTACACTACACATGACTCAAAACGGTGGCAGCTGTGTTATCGAGAGTTGGTGAGAGCTTTCTTAATATGTTATAGATTTGTCTGTACATATATAGCTGTACTTATAGTTTGTAATTAAACTGTTAATTTCTCACTCTTAGTTTTTGCAATACATTTGCTCATTAATTTGTTTTATCGGATTAAAATTAAGTATTTCTTTTTTGTTTATTGAATTTGGACAAGTAATTATAATTATTTATTTGTTATTTGCAATTGAAATACTTTTGAACGGCTAGCTCTTTGGAGGAAGGGGTTATCATGGCCACCTTTGATCAGTCAGATGGCTACCCCACCGGGATGTTTGGGAACCGGCGGTGGCAAGCGGACCTCCACGTAAAAAATATTTTGAAATTGCCGCATATCACATGTCCGACCAAGTTAAAGTTAGAATTGGTTGACCCAATAAAAGTAGCGTACGACAGCCTTAGAAAATTGAATTTTCCGGTGGTTCAGTGGTCCTTTTTGTTACTACATATAGTGTTAGCCCGCATACCTCGGATTCTTAAGGAAGAATTTGAAAAAAGATATGGTGGGGATGACGTCGTACCAACATTTGATGACTTGCTTACTTTTCTTGAGCAGGAATGTATGCTGGTTAAAAGCCTAAGATTGCAATCCAACCAATCTAACCAAATGGGAGTCTGCAAGGCAATGATACCACCCGATAACCGCTCCGAAGTAACTTCAAACAGCGAAGTGGTGGCCTCTATAGTAAAACTTTGTCGTTATTGCAAGCAGCATGACCACGAAACACGCACATGTTCCCATTTCCTAGCCTTGTCCCTTAGGGCTCGGATGAATATAACGAAAGTTCGGGGCTGGTGCTATTCGTGCTTGGGACAGCATTATTCACAGGATTGCCCGCAAAAGCAGCCCTGCTCGCGGTGTTCACGTAATCACCTGGTCATTCTGTGTAATAAGCGGAATCGTAATCGGAGTTCAAATGTCGACGAGGCACCTGGCTCGGGCAGGGGTGCCCATTCGTATCAAGCCTCCAGATTGGTCTTTTGGGATCCTGCAGCACTTGCTCGCTACGGGGATTCATCTCCCCGTGAGGCAGAGGTACTTCCCCCGCTAGTTGTAACGGCTAACCCTCAAGCTCAGAATGTTGAGGGAGGACTTGCTGCAAGGCAAGTTCATCCAAGCCCACCCTGTGCTGCCCCCCCTACATCCGTTGACTTGCAGATGGCGCCGCCCCGTGCTGGGACTCACAATTCGAGTTTTTCGCCACCGCTAGCGGAGGGGCCTCGTTTGGAGCGCCATCCTCCCCGTTTTGGGCGCCAAAAATATCAGTTGCCGGACTCAGGCCGTTTAATTAGGTGTCCGTCGAAAGACTATAATGCCTACGGGATCACGGTCTCGAATGTGGGAACCGAGGAAAAGAGAGATGGGAACGTAAGGGGTAGCTGGAGCGGTCGGAGAAATGCACGCTAGGCAATTGCAGCCCTTTATTCCCGAACCACTTGTTTTTCTACTAGTACTTTAGCCGTCAGTGTCAATTTTAGCATTTAAGTCTTATTTTAACTTGAAAGGCCAGGTTTTGACTAGTCGTGTCTTTAAATTATTTTTAATAGAATTTATGCCACTGCTGCAGGGAATCGAACCCACGTCTTCCGAATTCGCGGCGAAACGTTTAAAACTCTAAGCTAAACCGTAAACGGCTGATCTGTATTTTATCTACATTGTTTTTGGAATTTTTATCAATGCGCATATATTTTTATGATATACAAAACAATTTCAAATATCGTTTTACAACGAAAATTTGAACGAGAGATGTTTCCATTGCTATTTGATGTTTGCTCCGTCAAGAGTTCGAAGCTCCGAATTGCCAAGTCATTTAAAATATACCTATGCAGCTTTGTTGCAACTATATAGATTCTGGAATATTTCCAAATCTTATTAAATTTTATAACATAATACCCGTCTTCAAAAATGGGAATCAAGATGCAATAGGTGTCTTTTGCGACCTTTCAAAAGCTTTTGCGTAGATGCCACAAAACCCAAAAATAATAATCTAGCCTGTGATCTAGTACACAAGCTAGATTATTATGGCACTAGATGTTGCGCGCGACTACGTCCGCGTGGAATAGGGTGAAAGCGAAAAATTCAGACAGATACAGACAGATATCGATACATATAATAAAAATTTTAATATTTATAGTATATATAAATGATATTACCCTTTGATGCCAGTGACTTGTGTGATGTTGTACTGTTTGTAGACGATATATCAAGGTTCAGCGTGAATACACTTTCGCATATCCTCCACTGGTTTAGCATTAATAATATAGTAAGCACCTGGAGGACCGAGCTTAGCTCGGTGTTTTTGGTAAATCGTGTATTTTAGAAATAAAAAAAATAAAACATAAAGAAAATGATCTGGTATAGAAAAAAAGTAAGAAAAAATAAGTATGATCGTGCTACGAACCGCGGCCCACTGTTTTGGGGCTGCCCGATTACCGACCGAGCTATTATAACATTTTTTTTGCGGCGAAATTTACTGTCATATTCGAATGATAGTTTTCATTCCCTGAAAACAGGGATAAAAGGACATTTTCTAAAAATGAAACCTAGCTAGATCGATTTTTCGCCCCCGAATATTAAATATTTACACATACTAAATTACTACACATACTAAATTCATAAAAATCGCTGGAGCCGTTTCGGAGATTCCGATTATACATATATATATATATACAAGAATTCCTCGTTTAAAGAATAAGAGATAAATGCCAAAAAACTAAAAGCCAAAAAACTAAAATGCTTAGCGTAAGAAGGCAAAGTTTATGTTTAATATTAAATAACTTATCCCTTAATCCTGTCGAGTCCGCTGTATTCTTGGGAATTACAGGAGATACAAAGCTCCAGTGGAGTCCCCATCCATCATCTCTTGCGAATAGGCTAAGCTGCACTGTTTTTGCGATCAGGAAGGTTAGGCAACAATCAGACATCGACACTGCCAAACTTGTTTACTTCAGATATTTTCGCAGCATCTTGTCGTACGGCACTTTGTTGTGGGGTAGTTGATCTGATATAAATTCCATATATATTCTTCAAAAAAGAGCTGTCCGTGCAATCTACAATACCTAGGCCCGGATTAACTCAGAGTTTTTATTATTAGACAATAAGGTAAATTATAAAATGTTAATATTAACTATGATAATATGCGGTAAACTTAAGATGAAATGTGTCGTCTGGATCATATAGTGTAGGACATTACTGATAGATTACTGAACTAGGATATGGAGTTGCTAATATCAGATAAAATATCTTATTGCAATGTATAATAATCCAATTAGAAATTTTACATTTTTGTTTCGCTTGTGAAAGCCGTGTCGCAATCGCTTGAATAATCCTTGGAGGGTTTGTTCCGATTTGAGAACGGATCCCGGGGAGGACGTTTCAGCGGTCACCATACATACAGGCGCTTTATATTATGACATACTATCATCCTATACTATACACTACATCCATCACTCACATACTGGTGGCAGCCACTAAACGGCGTGTATTCGATGGTGGGTGAGTGTTTTACCAATTACTAATAGCTAATTATTGTAACCTATATAGTACGGTGCTTTGCCGCCATACTCTTTGAGCATTCAGGGAGCTAGGTGATGGGTCTTTAGTTCCAGGAATAAGGCATTAGCTCTTTTTAAAGTTTAAATAATGCAATAATTTAATCTTTAAAGCCCTTTGTTTTTTAAATTATGAAATAACGCGCGTCATATAGGTAGGTTAATATACATGATACCCATGTGCTCTATGACTCGACAGACACTCATCTCTGTCTACCCCCAAAGGTGAAAAGAAGCGTGAATGGTTTCAATTAATTGGAATCTATTTTGTCTATTCATCTATTTTGCAGGTGCCGTGATAGCTCTTAGTCTGGGCGCTTACTTCTAATTCAATATACTCGAGTAACTTGAGTTCAATCTCCGATGCCCAATTAAATTGCTATTGTTAAGTGCTGACCTTTAACGTGCTCGGTAAAGGAAAACATCGTGAGGAAACCTGCGTATTTTCGAAATTATAGCAAAATTTTTTTTTTTTTTAAGTTATCGAATCACAATCTGCAGTGGAGTTGTGGCGGACTATATTCTAATACTTTCCGTGCAGAGGGGACCTTTGCATAGCAGTGGAACATTTATAGGCTGATACTTAACTTTTACCTTATTTTACAGGGATCACTGCAAATTCAAGCAGATACCAGGAGTTCATGAGTGCGTTCAAGGCGATAGCGCCGGTTACATTCTACTACGATAACTCCCCCTACGCTGATGTCATCACCAGTAAAATAAGAGACGTATATTTCAACGGCGGCGATACGGCGGAGATCAAGACGGGAATACTGGACGTGAGTGGTTAACTAACTTGGCAACACTAGTTCTCATCTGCGCCTTCGGTAGAATTTTCACGCTAAATGAAATTATTTTGAAATAACTTTTAAATGGACCGGATTAATGATTTACTGAGGGGGTCGGTCTAATAGTACCTTTAACCAACTTGCATGTATAAGTAAACGTATGGATTTGAAGTTTTCAACTATACCATAGTGGATATTAAATTTAATTTATCGTGTATTTTTTTTAATTTGGTACAATAAACCAGACCACATACCGTAGGAGATAGTTTTCAAGATTTACACACCGTGATCTAAAAAAAAATCATAATTTAAAATTTCATATTGAGAGTAAATGAATTACACTCGAAATAAAAATTTAATCCTAAAATAATTGTAATAGCAAAGGTAACGTGCCGTTATAAAAGTTCATCGCTGAATGTTGCGCGCACTACACGGCCTCGCTTCGCAGGCTGCCGCCGCGTATGGCACTATAGGTCAGCAGATTGGGACGGGATGCGGTCATTCTTTGCGTCCTACCCATGGGGGCAGATTTGCTTTTCGTTGGATGATCCTGCTGACTCTGTCACTGATGTGGTGCTTCAGGGTATGGAACTGTTTATTCCATTTTCTGCAATACCCATCGGTGGCAAATCCCAGCCTTGGTTTGGTCGTTCCTGCAAGACTGCATTACGCCGAAAGTGGGAATGCTACCGAGCCTGGGTTGAAGCTTCGGCGTCTAGTGATGCAAAGACCAGCGCATTAAAAAAGGAGTATAACTCTGCTTCTAGTTCCTTCAAAAGCGTTATTGCTAAAGCGAAGTTGGAGCACATTGGCAGAATTTGCAAGAGATTGGTGCGTCTCCCATCGGGAACACGTGCGTTTTGGTCTCTCGCCAAAGCTGTCTTAGGGAATTTCTGTAAGCCATCTTTTCCACCCCTGTACAGAGGATGACTCATTGGCACATGCCGCGAAGGAGAAAGCAGACCTTCTGGGCTCTCTCTTTACGTCCAACTTGACTTTGGATGACCGAGGAAACTCACCACCATCAATCCCCCAGTGCGACATTACGATGCCGGAGGTAAAATTTCGGCAAAGTGCAGCTCACAAAGCACTTCTTTCCTTGGACATTCACAAGTCGAGTGGGCCCGATGGCATCCCTCCGATTGTGTTACAGACATGTGCCCCATAGTTGGCGCCGGTTTTAACACGTCTTTTCCGGCACTCCTATACTTTAGGCGTAGTCCCAAAATCATGGAAGGCCGCGTTAGTGCACCCGATCCCTAAAAAAGGCAACCGCTCTGATCCGTCCAATTACAGGCCAATAGCCATCACCTCCTTGTTCTCCAAGGTAATGGAGTCTGTTATCAACGGCCAGCTCCTGCGGTACCTAGAGGAGCACCGGCTGTTTAGCGACCGCCAGTATGGCTTTCGTCGGGGTCGCTCAGCCGGTGATCTTCTGGTCTACCTTACACATCGATGGGCAGAAGCAGTTGAGAGCAAAGGAGAGGCGCTTGCAGCCAGTCTGGACATAGCGAAGGCCTTTGATCGGGTATGGCACAAAGCGCTTCTTTCGAAGCTGCCTTCCTATGGGCTTCCCGAGAAATTATGCAATTGGATCACCAGCTTTTTGGCAGATCGGAGCTTTTTGGCATCAAGGTCGTGGTCGATGGTGCATGCTCCGATCCTAAATTTGTCAATGCTGGTGTTCCACAAGGCTGCGTACTGTCTCCTACTCTGTTTCTTCTGCATATCAATGACATGTTGCAAATCAGCAACGTCCATTGTTATGCAGACGATAGCACTGTGGATGTCTCGTACACTGGCCGAGCTAACATTTCTCGGGAAAACGTCTACGAGAGTCGGAACAAGCTTGTGTCTGAGGTCGAGACTTTGTTAACCAAAGTCTCAGACTGGGGTCGACTAAACCTAGTCCAATTCAACCCCTAAAAGACACAAGTTTGCGCGTTAACCGCTAAAAGTCCCCATTTGTCGTGACTCCTCATTTCGAGAACACTCCTCTATCTGCCACAGCTAGTATCGGAATGCTTGGCGTCGAAATCTCGAGCAACGTCCAGTTCCGCGGTCAATTGGAAAGAAAGGCCAAATTGGCCTCAAAGAAGCTTGGTGTGCTCAGCAAGGCGAGACGGTACTTTACGGCTGCTCAACGCCTAAACCTCTATAAGGCGCAAATTCGGCCCCACATGGAGTACTGTTCTCACCTCTGGGCGGGAGCCCCCTATTACCAGCTTCTTCCATTTGACCGCATTCAACATAGGGTAGCTAGGGTTATCGACGATCAAAGTCTTTCCGATCGGCTTGATCCTCTGGCTCTGCGTAGAGATGTTGGATCACTCTGCATCTTCTACCGCATTTATCACGGGGAGTGTTCTGAGAAATTGTTTGGATTGATCGCGACGGCTGAATTCTATCATCGGACATCGAGCCAGAACCAAAAATTTCATCCACACCGCCTCGATGTCCAACGTTCCACAACAGCGCGATTTTTAAGGCATTTCTTGCCTCGCACAACCACTCTGTGGAATCAACTGCCGCCGGCGGTCTTTCCGGACCGTTACGACCTGGGAACCTTCAAAAAGAGCGCATACTCTTGCTTAAAAGGCCGGCAACGCATTTGTGAGCCCTCGGGGGTTGCAGGTGTTCATGGGCGGCGGTAATCACTTACCATCAAGTGAGCCTCCTGCTAGTATGCCCCTTTTCTCCATTAAAAAAAATGTTCTTTTTAAGGTATTGCACGCTGTAAAATATGCACCCTAGATGGCGCCAAGCATTGCTAAAAATGAAATAAAAAGAGCGTAGATAGATTTACGCAATTTTCGCGCCGTGAGATCTTTGCGGTCGTGCGGTCGCTTAGGCCCGCTTAGCTTAGTTGTTGAGGCATCTGCATCTGTGCTTACACTTTTAAATTTAAGTCTAGCACAGCGGGATCTGATTAATACTCGTATATGTTGTACTACTTCATATACAGATCTACACAGACTCCTACTTCGCGTATCCGGCCGTGGAGGCTATAGAGTTGACTTTTAACTACACCAAGAACCCGGTGTTCCTCTACGAGCTGACATACAGGGCGGCCAACAGCTTCTCGCAGATATTCGGCGACGCGGAGGGTGATTACGGTTAGTGCATCTCTTGGACTTTAGTCGCTATGCCTGCCAGGCTTCAAGACTCCTTATGGGAAAAGGTGGCAAACTAAAAATCTTTACTTGATGGTAAGTTATTACCGCCATCCATGAACATCTAAATACTTCGATACTGCAAATGCGCTCCCAGCTTTATGTGAAAGTGAGCCCCGGTTCATCTCATTAGGAGCTTAATTCCTTCCTTCTTATTATATCTATCATTGTGAATACCGAAGCTCGAGGAACCCGATTTCGAACCCCGTGCCGGCGCCAATTCTTAATTTTAAGTGCTGACTTATCACGTGCTCAGCAATGATAGAAAACATCGTAATAATATAAAAAAAATATTTCGAAGATGTGAAGTCCTCCATTCCGCAAGGGCGTCGCGTGGTGGACTATGCCCATGCCCTAATACCGTCTGTAGAGGCCTTTGCCCAGCGCTTTACTTTTTTTTTTTTTTGTAAATAAACACATTCACATTGTTTATAATGCTACTGGCAAGTGGCGTCATACTTGTCATAATTAGGTAGGATACTGATTACTGACCTTGTTTTGACATTAACATACAGTAAGCGTGAGGGGGAATGTTTTTAGGGGCAATAATACAATAGATCTTCTAGGTCGCAATGGCCGTTGAGAGCTTATTAATAGACAACCTTCCACACAATATACAAATACAAGTAAAAGGCGTGAAAGTCGCGTGACTAGAAGAGAGTTGAGCATGAATGTGATTTGAGGTTGTAAAGATAGAGGAAGCCTGAGAAAAATTTAGACTGCAAATAATGATTTGTATGATATCTGATAGAGGAAAATGGAAGGCAACGAAATGAACCGACCGCATCTAGGTAATGTGGGACAAGGGCAGAAGAAAGGGAGGAGACAAGTTAGTCAAGTAGGTTTTCGAAGTCAAAACATTATAAAATATGAATTGATTTCTTTCATAATCTGTATAAGTAATTAACATCTTTTTCCTAATGAAGAAAAATGTTCAAAAAAGATTATACAATGAAATCATTTTAAAACTTGTAAAACTAGAACAACCAAGGAACTAGTAACATTGTGTAAAAATGTCCTTGAGATATTTATTTAAATTATTTTTATTTATTAATAACCCCCACACGTTTGTATTAGGTATATGCCATGCTGACGAGTTGATGCACTTGTTCCCGATTAACTTCCTCTCCAAGCCGTTCACAGACAAGGACCTGGAGATAAGCGAGCTTCTCATCACCCTGTGGACAAACTTCGCCAAATCTGGGTATTTATTGTTGTATATTTTTCTGATGAGTTTACTATCATCAGATATCTTACTTAAACATGTAAAATTTGTGAGTCTCCTTTTCACGTCACACTTCTACCCCTGTTTTCTTTCCTTCTACCCTTTTAAAGTTAAGTATCCGGTGATTTGTTAGGATTTTAAGTTAAAATTTAATGGAATTAAGCTATGCTTGCTGCCTTAGGTTCATTTATATCCTTTATTCTTTATTTGCATTCCACAATGTAGCTTAGGTGGTAATCAATTTAATATTGACTTTAAAATCCACCGAAAGTAAATGTTACATACTTAAATGCTAGATAGCGGAGAACACACTTTAGTTTTATAGTACTTATATGCATTTTAATTGATTTTTATTTTTGCCTTCATTAACTGATTAATTATCATAGCCATGTGTGTAGAAATTTGAAGTTAGATTTAAGCCAAGTTTAGAAAATTTGCTCAAACATGGTGTTGTGTTTTTCTGTTTCATATTGGTACATTTTACCCCCTTTTCTTCTAAAGTGGCTATTGTTGAATTATTTAATATCTGATAATACTGACAAGTGATATGTTTTTATCCGACTGCGCAAAACGGAGGGTTATGTTTTTCGAGAGTATGTAATGTATGTATAATTGTTTGGCACACTCTGCATCCTGAACGGCTTGATGGATTTTAGCTTAAGAGGTTTTGTTAGATTCGCATATAATTGTGAGACTTACACTGAGTATATCAAAATAAAAAATTACACAGAAACACAATCGGGCTTTTTTAGTTATTTAAATTACTTGTTCCTTCCTATTCTTGTATTTCATATTCCTACTTTCCAGTGACCCCAACAAACCAAACAAACTCCCGTTCAGATGGGAACCGGCTACAGGGAGTAAGGGAATGGAATACCTGGAGATTGGCAAAGAACAGAAGATGAGGGACCACTTGGCTTCGCGCTCTAGGGTCTGGGGATCACTACCTCTGTGGCATAGCATTAAAACGAGGAGGTTTATCGACGAGCTCTAGAAATAGGAACCCTATAAAAAATTAAGTAAATCTTTTAATTATCAGCATCAAATATAACAGTTCTAAATTATTGGACAATACAATCGAATATTTAAACATGATAAAAAATGGTTAATTCTCTAAATAAATATGATAATCATAGGTTATCAATACAATAGAAATAAAATATAATGTTTTATTTCAGTTTCATTGTTTGGGATAAAAAGAATTCAATATTTATTTGAATTGTTTATCTTAACTCATCCGGAAAATCAAAGTTCTGATAATAAGCTTTATTTTAATTCAAAATGGCAAATGTAAAAGTAAGAGTTCAAACAATAATAGTTTTCTTAAATGTTGGTTTCACTTATTAAGAATAATGTTGTGAATTTCAATTACATTATTGGTATTTAAGACTAATTTAAGTGTATGTGTAGTTTATTGGATTTGATCCAGACGGTAACTAACTAATGAAATGTGTAACATGTAATTTGTGCATATTTTTTATAAAATTGTTTAACGAATTTATAAGACTTCCCGGTTTGAAATGCATGGTACCTAGCTGGTATTAATAAGGTGTGTAAATAAAGTATCTTTTTTTTTAAATTTTAGTTTTGTTTTACTCATCCATACAGCATATTGGGTATATTTAACTTTATAGTACAAATTATTAAAGCTGACAAATAGGAAGGGAAGCTAATAAACGAAAATCCCACTGACGAAGCTTGAGAAATTTATTTTAGAAAATAGATATATTTAGTTAGTTCATGGACATTGATTCTTCGATACACAGGGCGATATAGAATGTGTTGATAATCTTGGGTACTGTATAGGTACAGCTATCAAGACTCACTATCTTATAAAATTATTCATCTTAAAATACATGGTTATGTAGCACTGGCCTATTGGCTCCAAATCATTTGGAGGCGTGTCAAACTGTCCAAAATGGTAGTTCCCCGTCAAATAATCATTCGGACTTATTCATCAACATGAATTCAGACCCAGACAGTTGCAGGTGCATTGCCATCTTTCAATGAATTGGGCCCCGGTTAACTCACTCGCGAGACGAAATGCAGAAGTACAACACTGACATCACGTCGTTCTTGAGAGGTTGTGGTACTTACCTGGACGGACCTTACCAATTGTATGACAGCGAACATTGCTTTAGCTACTACTACCACAGTTGTTATTTCGAAAAGCCTATTCATATTTGAATTGTACATTTATTTATTTATTTAAGCTTCATTGCTACACCTTAAGCTAAGAGCTACAGTGGGCGGACTTAATGCATGATGGCATTCTCAAGTCAACCCTTGTCATGGTGAGAAGTAGATGGTAGGTGCTAAATGAAGACTATAAAAATGAAAATTAATAAATGTGCTATATAATATATGTAAGTATAAATAGGTGCATAAATATGTAAATATATAGATACATATACACAGAAATAAATTTATATATGGATAATAAAAACAAATGGAATAAGCGAAATCAAGTCAAATGATTTAACAAGTATTCTCGAATTAATTTTTTGAACATACACTTATTTGGAGCTGTTTTGATCGTGTAGGGAAAGAAGGGTGTTCCAGAGGAGTGTAGCTTGAACAGTAAAAGAGGAGTTAAAGTGTACTGTATACTGTTGAGGAGTGTGAATCTTAAGTTGGTTGATGGAACGAGATACTCTGTCAGGACCAGAGTAAGAGTGAAGGTTTATATACGAACAAAAGACAGTTTTACGACGAAAGATTAACTCCAACACTGCTTATGTTCAGCAGTTCACTGCTCAATGGCCACTGCCATTTTCGTGCAGTTTTCTTGTAGCAACTGCCCGTTTAAAAACTACTACGCAGACCTGTGTAGAAGACCGTTCCTGAAACATTCACTGGCAAAGGTTTTCTATGTCGCCCAAAGGCCCATAAACTAGCCTCAGGAACAAAATCTTGGCCATCTCTTGACTGAACTGCTTGATAGAATAAATTACCAAGAAACCCTTCTACATTTAGTGCATAAAATATATCAGTAAGTATGAAGTCTGATGGTGCCTATGGTTTCCTTTTGGCGTCCAGCAATCGATGAAGTTTTCATACAAAGAGTAGGCGTTGAAAGTGTCCTTATTAATCTTGATTCTGTTAAGGATTGAGTAGAAACGAACTCACTTCTGCAATTATAGTATATATATATATATATATAGAAGGGAATGCATGTGTGTGTGTATGTATGATTTTTATCTTTTGACCCATAGGTATTTTGAATTGATATACCGTGACACGTAGTAAATAGGTTAGTAAGTATGATCTCTAATGGAGACTACTCCGCGCACCATTCTTTTGGCGTCCACCAATCTATGAAGTTTTTGTACAAGGAGAATGCATTGAAACTGTCCTCGTTAACGGCGGCGCAGAGGGCGCAGTAGTTGTCCGTTTCCTGAGATTCGGTGTGATCGTGATACGAGTAATGGCTCCTCCACCTGAAGAACATCTGGTACACGGAGGGGTTCTGCATTATCTCGTACATTCTGCGCGCCAACCTCTCCGGGCCGTAGTGCAACGCGTTCAGATACGAACCGTCGGGGAGGAACCTGTTTGTAATAAAAACTAAATCAACGTTCAACCTTCATGGAACTGCGGCACCCCACAGTAAGGTGGAAGTAATCCAGGAGGTATCTAATAAAAATATCTTTAAATACAGCTAACTATAATCTAATTTAATACTAGAAACTGAATTCTAAAACTTAATATTAATTATAAATTATTTAAATCGAATATTTTTCTGCTTATGGCCGAGCGATCGAACCCACGTCTTCGAGATTCGGCCCGTGACGCTTTAGCCACTAAGCTTAACGGCTGATTGCCACATCCTCCAAATTTCAATGTTCAACCTTATGTGCAGAGATTAGAACCATAAAAAAAATTAAATCTGACATATGTATATCTACCTCGTATAATTTGCCCCGCCAAAAACAACGGGCACCGTGTCGTGGTTGAGGGCGTGCAGAACGATCTCCGTGACATAGTCCTCGCTCATTGCGCTCTCGAAAGCGAAGTAGAAGTAATATTCCTCTGAGAGCATCTGAAGGCAGCTCCCCATGGCGGACTTCGGGCAAACGTGCTCACCGCAGTTCCCGTAGACGTCCACCTGTAGCTTGTACTCGCTGAGGTACCCTTGCACCTCGCTGACGAACTCCTCCCTCTTGCTCTGCGTCTTGCAGTTGGACGCGAACCACGCGGCGATCTTGGTCTTCGACCTTAGCTTCATTATGTACCTGCTGTCGACGGGACTCATATTTTGGACGTTTATCCAGTGCATGCCCCTCCTCGGGCCAACCACTCTGCCGCGGGCGTCTCTGATCAGGAAGTACCTCCAGACTAGATCCGAGTCCAGTCTGTATGTCCAGGTCCAGTTGAAGTAGCCGTCCCACAGCGCGTCGCAGACGGGCGACGCGGCGGCCGGGTCGCCGCTGACGTACACGAACTTCTGCCAGCGCGCCCTCCTCCTGGGCAGCTTCCTGGAGCCCGCGAAGTACTCTATGTCCGGGGAGTCGAACAGGACCGCGCTGAAGCGGGAGAAGTCCTGGAGCAAATCGCTCCTGTCAGTCAGGTAGCAGTTGCTCCACGTGCAATTCCTCGCCGTGAACAGTAGCGAGCCGTCACCGTCTTCCGTCGGTTTGTTCGTCGGGTTGATCCAACGGAGGATGTACTTCAGGCCGGGCTTGGGCCGGACTTGAACCTCCCGTCTCGGAGCGCTAGCCGGCACCGCTGCTACCGTGCTGGCGGTGGCGATTTCACGTTTGCAGTGCAGACGCAGGAATATGACAAGCAACGAGACGGCAATTATAAGAACGTAGACGAGCTTTGGCACTTTCGTAGGTATCGGCAACCGCTTCCAGGGCGGCATCTTCACGCGGCGCGTCCACGACGCGAAACTGACAGACGGATTGAGGTATTGTGTTTACTAACCGAGACGGTGCTCAAATTCTTTGGTCGCCGACGCAATTGTATCGGTCCGGTTTGCAATTACGAGATTCCTCGTAATAAAATGTCAATATACCTATTGATACGTTATTACCGAGAATCTACTGCTTAGAGGACTTTGGAGATTTCTTTCTCAATAAAAATTTATTCGTAGATTCGCTGTTGTAATATTTAATAGTGGTTATCTTTTTTGATTTTTTTACAAATCTTGTCAAAGGCTACGGGCATAATCAGAATGTTTCATTTGATTACAGTGAAAAAAGCACTGAGAAAATCCATTTTCATTCGGAAATTTATATTATCGGACAGAGAATAAACTACTGCACAAGAAATTTTATTTAAGTATACATATATTATTATGAAATAGCTCACACTTTAATCTCTACAAGAATCAAGTATTAGTGTGAATTGATTGTTAGAATGTATAAGTCGGCTTGAATTCGATCTTTATAAACAAAAAGATACGTAAGTATGAATGTATGTATGTAGTGTTTTTGTAACATTCCAATTATCGTCATCCTCCTGCGCTTACCCCAGAAGGTCACCACAACAAGTAAATCATGTTGTAATTGATTTTGGTTGTCCTCTACGACCGGCCCCTTCCCTGACGTCAACACACAATTTATCTGTGGGTCATACGAATACTTGTCTCGTGTGAGAATCGAACCCACGACACGCGGAAGCCAACAGCTAAACGACGGCGTCACCGAGTCATCCAATCCATTAAAAACTCTTTATATTATTCAATTAGTGGCTTAATATTAGAGCTTCATTTTGAAAATGTCAAACAACCTACCTCACTGACCTACTAACCTACTCTATGGACTGAAAGAAACATCAGTTAAAGCAAATGAAAAGGAAAAAGTAAATTTTCGCATTTTATTTTCGGTTTCAAACTAAACTTGTTTGATTCAGTGAATTCGAACATTGGGTCTATCATTCGATACGATGCCGCCCACTATCGAACGCGGTGGCAGAACAGGCATGTTCACTTTCCACGAACTATGTATAACTGATTCTCCTTGACAGGGAAAAAGGAAAAAAATCCGCTTTTGAATGATTTATTTATCCATAACTTAAGAACAATCACATACATACATAAAGATTATAATGATAGCCTTGTTGTATTTTTAAAACGATATGAACCTCGTTGAATTTTTTGTTCTAACAAAATTTTTACTGATGGGTGCTAGTTTTATTATTAATGCAGTTAATTTAAAGGTATTATTATAATCATAAAACGTGTAACGATTAAATTTTTAAAATTAAATAAATATTTACGGCATTAGCACATTTTAATCGACGGTTAAATTTGTTTTAATAGTAAAAGTACAGTCAGCCAACCGAGTGAAGCAAAGAGTTTAATTAAAAAGTAAAGCGGTCGCGAGCTTGAGTGTATTATGATTAGTAATACTCTTTTCAGCCAACTGCCACTACTTTCTATACGACGGATGTTGCGCGCGCTTAGCCCCAGACCCTCACGCTTTGATCCCAAGAGCAACTAGCCATTGCTATGCCGTTCGGTGCCACGGATATGGAGGTCACCCGGTTCTCGTGAGCGTTAAGGGTTCCTGGAACATTGGAAATTATCATCGGTCACTCTTCGATATTCACTGTGTGAAAAGCAGGGCGCTAGGGTCCACGCAACACTCGTTGTTGCAAGGGTGGGCAGTTCCGGGGAAGTAACACGACCTCAGAGCAGACCGGCGTGAAGTGAAAGTGCCATACCCACTTTATTAAAAGGTGGCAACGTCTGCAGCATCTGCAACCCTATGGGTGGTGCAAATGTCCATGGGCGGCGGTTATCACTCAATGTCAAGGGAACCGTCAGCTAGATTGCTACCTTCTCACCTAAAAAAAATCTCTACAGATATGCATAACGGGGGTAGTAATCCACGTTATATAAGTACCGGTCAAAAGCCCAGGTTGTATTCTGACAGTTCCAGTGTTATATCAGAACTCGTATTCTGTACAAAAAAACCTACGGTGCTATGACAGTTTTTTGTATATTAAAAAATTTGATACGTAGCTTGTTCATAATAATGTACCAACTTCAATACTGTAGAAAATATATGTCTTATTAAATCGTTTACCGAAACAAAAAAAAACCACAGCTGGTTCACAATTTCTGTTGATTAACACTGCTCGAAGTATTTTTGTAGGCGCTAAAAAACGTCTATAACCAAGTCAAAGATCTTACGAACTTTAATAACTTTAGTATGTGTAAGGTCTTCGAACCAATTACGTCCGCCTTGCGTAGTTAGTGGCGATACGTTACCGACCTGTGTGGGCGACTTTCAGCGTGTCCCAGGAGTGGACGGCGTTGTCGTCCGAACCGGCCAGGAGATACCTCCCGCTCAGCGACAGGGCTGTGTGCAGTGAGAGCATCGAGTCTGTCTCTGTCATGTCTTGATATCTATACATGGAGCTTTTACGCGAAGGTACAGCCTCGCATGAAGACCGGCGTGAAGTGGAAGTGAGGAAATTGTTAATTTTTCATAGTGACTTTGAGGAAATTGTTAATTTTAAGTGTTGCTTTATCGCGTGTCCAGCGGCGAAGGAAAACGTCGTGAGGGAACAGGCATACTTTCGAAATAATAACAAAGAAACAAGTATTTCGAAGATACTTGATGTCCGCCAAACGCAGTGGTTCCGCGTGGTGGACTCTGTCCTGACACACTCAGTATAATAGAGGCTTTTGCGGCAGTGGGACATGTACAGGCTGTTTTACTGTTTTACATCAAATAACCTGAGAAGTACCACCTCAAAGACCTTCTCTTCTTCCTTCTCCAGAGTTTACTGACGAACCTCAAAGACCTTCTCTTCTACCTTCTAAAGTTTACTCACCACAACTGGTGAATCCACTGTTTCCCGGTGGCGTGTAGTGGCCGAGTTGCTGGTCGCTGCGTATGTCGAAGAGGCGCGCAGTTTTATCCTCGGAGGCGGTGGCGAACGCCTGCCCGCTCGGGTGGTACTAGTCCCGGGTTCGAAACGGCATTTTTAGTGCACAGCGATTATCGCTTTTGAACAACGATGTTTGATAATATATACTACATTTTACGGCCCTACCCACAGCGGAGGGAGTTCTGCGTCAGATGAAGCTTTAATAGTCTCGGAACTGAAAGAAAAAACATCAGTTTTTTTTTATGCGAAAAGTTGTCAAATGAGCAGACGGTTCACCTGATGTTAAGTGAATATCACATGCACATCTGCCACACCCGAGGGTTACAGATGCGTTGACAACCTTTTGAAAATTGGGTTAAGTTAATACAAGATACAAGATACATTTTACTGCGGCAGGACCACGTAAAGGTATTCTCTGTTGCACGAATGGGCAGGTCCGTCCGGTAGTACCCCGACCTCGCAGAAGACCGGCGTAAAGTAGGAGTGTTACACTTCTGCGATTCGTCTGGTGAGTTAGGTAGCCGGGGCCCACTTTATTTAATGGTGGCAACGTATCTGCAATCCAACGGGTGTTGCAAATGTCCATGGGAGACGGCTATCACTTAACATCTGGTGGACCGCCAGCTAGTTTGCCACTGTCTCACATAAAAAAAAAAAGACGACGCATGTCCATACTGCGCGGCGTTCGGAAATGTTCCGTTTTACGTTATACGACATGTATGAACGAATTGAATGTGACAGATGATATAGAACGTACGTTACGGAAAGAGATAGCAGTATTTATAATTGCAATCTCATGATGCGCGACACCAATTTCGATTTAGAACCGAAAACAACTTTTGGACATTTGTCTTTAAGTCCAGCTTATCTGAATAAACAGCTAACAAATTATTGCATTTGGTATGTTTTTTTTACAAACAAACAGTACGGGCACGCGGGATAATTTTTTTGGGGTTATCAAAATCAAAATCAAATGTATTTATTCAACATAGGAGCATTACACTCACTTATTGATAGTCAAAACACTACCACCGGTTCGGAAAAGAAAGCCACTGTACTGAGAAGAACCGACGAAAGAAACTCAGCGGGCTTTTTTTTTTTTTTAAATAAGCAGTTTGACATAAATTCGTTAAAATACAATATAAGAACTCCGATTAAAAGAGCCTGGAGCGATCAGTTCATTACCAGAGTGTGTTATCATTTAAATAATCATTAATATTATAGTAGCCTTTAACACACAAACGTTCTTTTACTATTTTTTTAAATTTAGCTATTGATGCATTTTGAACGTTTTCTGGAATTTTGTTGTAATAACGTATACATTGTCCCATAAAAGATTTACTTATTTTACGGAGTCTACTTGTGGGTAGGATCAATTTATTTTTGTTCCTAGTATTTATATCATGAACATTATTATGTCTTAAAAATTTATCCTTATTTTTATGGACATACAAAACATTTTCAAAAATGTATTGAGCAGCAACAGTCAATACCTTTATCTCTTTAAACAAGTTTCTTAACGATTCTTTGGGGCCCAGATTGTAAACTGCACGAATAGCTCTCTTTTGTAAGATAAAGATTGTATTAATGTCGGCCGCGTTACCCCAAAGCAGAATGCCATAAGACATTATACTGTGAAAATAACTAAAATATACCAAGCGAGCCGTATCAACATCAGTTAACTGTCTTATTTTTTTGACCGCGAAAGCTGCTGAGCTAAGTCCATTGCAGTTTGGCATCAATAGTTATGCCAAGGAATACAGTTGAGTCAATAGGGTCCAACGCTTCCCCATATAAAAGTACATCAGTTTTTACATGTTTAACATTGGAGGAAGTTGTAAATTTAATACATTTAGTTTTTTTTATTATTCAACAGTAAATTGTTAGCACTAAACCAATGTACTACAGTAGATAGAGTATTGTTTACATCGTCATAACTTAAAGAACGTCGGTTTACTTTAAAGATTAAAGAGGTATCATCCGCAAACAATACTATCTCATGATTATTATTAACAAGATAAGGTAGATCATTTATGTAAATGAGGAAGAGAAAAGGCCCAAGAATAGATCCCTGCGGTCCCCCATGTTTACCAAGGCCCCGGGAGATCTCTTGCCATTCACGTCAACTCTCTGAATTCGATGGCTCAAGTACGATTTCAGAAGATTGAGTGCGGCATCTCTTATACCATAGTGGCGTAGTTTCCTGACCAAGGTCTCATGCTGTACACAATCGAAAGCTTTGGTTAAGTCACAGAATATTCCTAAGGCATCCTGCGACTTTTCCCAGGCTTCAAAAATATTCATAACGAGCTGAACACCCGCATCAGTTGTTGAGCGACCCCTAGTAAACCCATATTGCTTGTTATGTAATAAATTATGGGAGCTAAAATGCTGTAACATTTGATTTAACATGATTTTTTCAAAAATTTTACTAAGAGTTGGCAGTACAGAGATAGGTCTAAAATTATTGGGGTCGGAAGTACTACCAGATTTAAACACCGGAATGATTTTACTATGTTTCATAAGGTCAGGAAATTTGCCACGATTGATACAAATATTAAAAATAGTTGCTAGGTAAGGTGATATTACATCAATAATAGAACTGATCACCTTAACCGAGATCCCCCATAGATCTGCAGTTCTTTTAACATCTAAAGATTTAAAAGTTTTAACAATTTCTGTCTTGTTTACAGTAGTAAATTTAAAGTTGACTTTACATTCCATAACATTCTTTTTTAGTAATGACTCAGCAACTGTCGGTGAGGAAAGAAGTGACTTGGTTGTTGAAACTGGAATGTCAACGAAAAATTTCTCGAAGAAAGTAGCAGCCTGTTGATTTGAGTTAATAGAATTATTATAATTAGTTAACATTAGGTCAGATTTGCGCTTCGTGACTCTTCCCGTTTCGCTATTAATTATTTTCCAAGTCATTTTGATTCTATCAGGTCCATTTTTTATTTTATTCCTAATATATAGAGATTTAGCAGTATAACAAGCTTTTTTAAATATTTTAGAGTAGGCACTAACATAAGAAACAAAACATTGACTATGATTGTATGTCCTTTCACTATAAAGTTCATAGAATCTACGTCTACTATTATGAATTCCGACTGTTGCCCATTTATTGAAAACTACAGAGCTTTTAGGTTTGACTTTTGTTTTTTATATTCCTTTTATTACACTAAAGGGGTATTACTGACGTGCGCACATTAGTACTTATACACACACCCACACATACACACACACGCACACAAAGAGGTGTCTTTAGCTTATTTTATTCGGGCTTCTCTATTCGTTATTAGTCCCGCAAGTCGCGCAAAACTAAAAGTTTTCTGTATGCGCGATACGAGATGTTATGGTATCTTGTATCTTGTATTAACTGATGTTTTTGCTTTCAGTCCCGAGACTATTAAAGCTTCATCGGACGCAGAACCGGTGGGCTAGCCAGAACCCACGGGTTTGGACCCTCCGCTATGGGTAGGGTCGCGCATGTGCTCATGCGTGCGTTTAACTACTATGGTGTGTCATCTAAGGGCCGTCGAGGTCGCCGGTTCGAACCGAGACCCCGACGGCCGTCGACTGTGCATTTAGCTAATCGGTGGCTGGGAGCGGTGAGAACCGCCCAGAACGCGGGTGTACCTTGTGTACGCGTTGTGTGGGTCTCGCCGTGCTCGGAGGCGAGGGCGAACTGGTGTGATTGTTGTTACACTAACTGTGGGTGTAGTGTTATTCGGCGGGACCCCCGGCGGTGGGTCCATCGTATCTAAGTCCTCTTCGTCGACCGGGTCGATGAGGACGTTTCGCGGGCGACGCTTGTTTACGTTCGCGTTTGTGTCCGGTTGGTAGTTTGCTGCGCTTACCACCAGAGGGTTGGGATGATGCTGGGCTCTATCGAAGAACCGTTTTGTCAAATCTTTACAATGAGCGCGAATCGTCGGGAGTCTGCAATCGCTGTGCAGGTCGACGTTGCGCTGATACCATTGCGCACCGGTTGCGCGGCGGATAAACTTACTTTGAACTACTTGCAATTTGTTAATGCGCGTAGGATTTATATGTGCGAAGATCATGCAAGCGTAGGACATGATTGGCCTTACGCAAGCTTTATATAACAGTAGTTTGTGCCTTAAGGGCATTTTACTATGCTTATTCGTTAAATTGTGTAGCCGGCCGGAGACGAACGCGGCTTTATTTCGGACTTGATTTATGTGCGTAGTGAAAGTCATACGCGAGTCGAAAGTGACTCCTAAATATTTGACCGTTTTCTCCCAGGGGAGAGTTTGGCCATATAGTGATATTTGCCCCAACTTTTTGTACTGGCGAGGACCTTTGTAACGGTGTGGCGGATGGGGGTTGGGGGTGCTACGAGTGAAGTGAATCGCCACACTTTTTTCTGGATTAATATCGATTCTCCATTTGCGGAACCAATCGCCGAGGCGGTCGGCGGCGCTTTGGAGTCGAGTTGTTAATTGACTGAGGTTGCGATCTGAGTAAAAGAGCGCCGTGTCATCCGCGAAAAGCGCGAGATTGACGTGGGGGTCTTTAGGTATGTCGCTCGTGTAGGGCGTAAATAGCAAGGGAGAGAGGCAGGAGCCTTGTGGTACGCCGGCCGTGAGGCGGTGGCTTGTGGAGAGAGAGGGTGCCCTCGACTCGATATCGAAAAGAGCGGTTCAACAAAAAGGCGGTGTGTACAGCTGGATGGTGTGTACGAGCCTATCTGGCACTTTGAGTGTGTACAGCTTGTAAAGCAAGCCGTTGTGCCAGACTTTGTCGAATGCTTTTGCGACATCGAAGAAGAGAGCCCCTGTACTAATGTGTTTGGGGTGGTTAAGGCCTTTTAGGATGTGCTCCGTTAGGCGGTATAACTGATCGGGGCAAGAGTGTCTAGCTCGGGCCCTCCGGCTCAGATTAACGTCCGTTCCGTGTGGAAGCACGAAGCGGAATCTCAGATGTTATGGTTAAGGCGCTGTATGCAGTGAATTTTTAACTATTTGGGTGGTGAAGTATGAGGAAGCGGAGGAGGTGTAACGCCGCTTAGTGGCGCGCAGCGCGCGAGTTTCGTCGACGTGCCGC